ACCTTCTGATACTACTTTCTTAGAAGTGTTGCATTGCTTCCATGACACTTCCGTTAAATGTTTTGAAATACTAAATGTGCACAAAGGTGTGTTTATTGTCGAGCAGTTCACACTTAGTGATGATCAGATACTGTCTGTAAAATAATGGGAGGAATATACAGTTTGATTTATTAATGAATTCTTACAGTTGAACAGATTGAGGAAGCGTGTGCGACAGAGGGTTGAACTGTTAGAGTAGGAATGGATTGATGTTGCGTCGGGCTTCAACTTGCAGGGAGTTGGTGTTTGCACATTCTCCCTGTGTCTGTGTGGGTTTCCTCCAGGTGGTCCAGTTTCCTCCCACAGTCCAGAAATGTGCACGGTAGGTGGATTGGCCATGCTCAATTACCCACAGTGTACAGGGATGTGCAGGCTAGGGGTATTGGCCAGGAAAGTGCATGGTTACAGGGATAGGGTAGTGGGGGTGGGTCTAGGTGGGATGTTCTTCGGAGGGTCACTGTAGACTTGACGGACCTAATGGGCTGCTTCCACACTGTAGGGATCCTATGATTCTAGGGAGCTTTAAGAATGTGCTTCTGCCTGTAATCCTCCTGCAGTGGCTTTGACCAGAGGCTGTTCCCGCACATACTACAAAACCCAATACATAACAAACAAACAAACAAACAATCAATTATTATTGAAAAAGTTTATTAAATGTAAATATTTCAACGCATCATAATCACGGCTGTTGAATAAAACTCAGCACGGTAAGGAAATTTTATTATTACAGAGCTCTGAGGGACAATACGTTGCATCAAATACCAAACATTCAAAGTTAATCACACAAAATATTTATGGCAAAATCGGTCAGGTTTCTGCACAGCAGAAGCATCAATTAGATTTTAAAGCTTCAAATTTCCATGCAAATGATCAGTTCGGTATGTAATAACTGTACAAATAAACCGATCTGTTAATGATCTATGTATATATAAAACATTGGTAAGATTTGCAAGTTAGGAGAACCGAGGCATTAAGACCTGAATTTAGTCCCTAGTAATGAAGACTAGTTCTATCAGTACATTAGTGCTTCTTATAGAGGTGGCTGTGGAATGAATGGTGAGATGGATCCCTTTACAGACATAGGTCTGACCTGTTGAATGTATGGGCTAGGCATGAATCAGGTGGCCCTTTTCCTTCCCCACATACCAGAGTGCACCCAAAGCAAATGTCTCCTTCAATTCATGTGAGCAGGTAATCTTCAGTGATCACAGTGCATTAAACTCTCTGAACCAATGATGCCCAGCATCTGTGAGAGAGGACAAGAATGAACTGACACCAGAAACCCCCATCCCTACCCCACACCCTCCCACACACCTAATACACCCATACACACACCCACCCCGACACAGACAGAACCACAGACCCACTACCTTTCTGCCCTGTCTCCCCAATCATTGAGCGTCACTCTCTCTTTCTTACATTTAATGGGGGAGTGAGGGGTGGGGTTGGGAGAGGGGCATGTTCCACTGACAAGGTGGTCATCCACTGGTTCCCAGCTCTCACTCTCCCAGAGAAACAACCCTGAGAGACTGTCTACCTCACGGGCCGCAACCATCAATGGACCAACTAACCAGAAATCACAAAGGGCTCAGGCCATTTTCCTGGGGCTCTGATGGGTAGGACCTTTAAGGAAAACAGTTGAGTTCCATTGACATTTTTGAAGATTTCCTCATTTGAATTATTTCTAGTCTGTTCCCTCCGTGGGTACAGTCAACATGTAGAGGCTCTGCACAATGGGGTTTACCACCATCCAACTCACTGATGGGAATCTTCAGCACTTCATCAGTAATGTTTGTTCAGTATTTTCTACATTTCAATGTGGATCAGGTAGAACTGAAGTGGATTGGAGACTAGTTCCTCTGGAGGGGGAGGGGGAACAAGTCCAGAACAAGGGGCAGAACCTTCAAATCCAAACCAGGCTGTTCGGGAGGGGGCGGCATCAGGAAACACTTGCCTATGGGGGTGTGGAACTTCCTCCCTCTGGAAGATGACTGAAGCTGGAGGTCAGGTAACATTCCCAAACTGAGATGGATAGATTTATTTCAGGTAACGGGTATGAAGGATTACATCATCAGGCTAGCTGGATGGAGTTACAATATAGATCTACCCTGAGCTGACTGAATGGTGAAATAGGCTCCAGGAACTGGCCAGTCTTCTCTATCTAATGTTTCCTTCCACAGGAAGCTGGTTCCATTGTACCAGTTTTGCTTGCTGTGACTTTTCTGTGCAGAATGAGCAAGATTAGCTTTGGGAACCACTGGTTCAAAGTCCCCTCTTTCTCCTGAACTCGCTGTAATCTCCAGTTTGTAAGATACCCACATAAAATAATGGAACGAGTGTATAGATTGACCTATTAATACACTCTTCGAGTTTAACAGATTACTGATGCACAGGGCATCCAAGTTTTCACTTTAAGAGTGGGAATGGATTGGATATTGTGTAGGTCTTCATTTCCCAGGGAGTAGGAAGTTCCTGAAATGTGGCTCTGGCTGGTGGCTGCACGACCTTTGAGAAAGAGAGAGAGCTGTATTGGTTCCTGACTGTGACAGGGGTCATTTCATGTTGGTCTTTATAACTTGTGATCCCTGCGATCTCTTGAAGAGGAAATTTTCTTATGTTTTCTTTCTCTGGTATTTGGGCCCCTGGAATTAATGGGTTGAGGGGAGGAGGTTGAGGATGAAGGAAGGGTCCCGTCAATGATGCTCAGACTGTCATGATGGTGAAGCAGTGTGGAAGCTCCTCTTATGGTTACTCCATAATCTCAGAAAGATAAGCAACATAGCACCTGCTATTTTACAGAACGTCAAGTCTGAGGAATGTGCAGTTTTCCAGAACATTGGTAGGTAGGAAGGATGGAATAAACACCATTACAGTGAGACCAGATCATTTCCACAGGATAAACAGGAAGATTTTAAAAGAAAGGGAAATTCAGGAAGTGCTGGTGGAATACGTCCTTGTTTGATACTGAGATGAGGGTTTATTTCCAGTCATTTTGGATATCTGCTTCATTCTGACTCAATATTTTGAAATTTAGTGGATTCTCCACAAGTTGCCTTTCAACATTGTCACTAATTCTGACATTCCACAAACATCAAAATCAAGGCTCTTGCAGCAGTGAACACTTGCCCCCTTCAGCTGGTTATGGTTTGGGGAACAATCTATTGAGAAGTTTAATTTCCCCTCTGCAATATTTTCCATTGGAGCTTGAATGTTCAAATCCTATGTGCAAGACTTTAAGGCAAATGTTAAGTTAACACACAGTAATGGGGTCATGAGTAAAAATCATACAGGAAGCACTGAATTTCCAAGTTAACTGACCGACATAATGACAGCATGTAGACATGATGAAACCATGATGCCATGTGCGAAGGCTATGTCAGGGATGGGGCACAAGCTGCAGATTGGAGCCAGTCCTCTCAGGGAGTACCAGCTTTCTGTACTCAAATTGATAGAACTTTCTGACTTATGCACAAGGTCACTGACTAGAACCAAATTCCAAGGAAGAAGAGATACAAGGTGTTTGTAGGGTTTTATCTTTCTTTAAACATTTTTAAAGACAGGAATTTGGTTCTAAGTCACTTGGATATATCAAAAGTTGGACAATGCTCCAATGAAGCTGCTTGAGATAGTTTACTATGTTAAATGCTCTATATAAATGCTTGTTGTTGTTGGTGTAGCCTTATTTTTGATGGATGGGGAAAGTCAAGTCCCTGTGATAAGTTCAACGTCTGTGTTGCTCATCTTCAGGCTTCACATTCCTCACGTTCAGAATCTTCATCAATGTCTTACTCATGAAATATGGCCTGTCAGCCGATCCATCATTCCTCTCTAAATCTTCCACTACAGACAGGAATTACAGGCAGTGATTACAAGCATCTCAGTACCATTTTACACATCAATCCAGATGGTGCCAAGGCTGCTATTACATAGCCTCATTACAATTCACTGCAAAATTAATGGGAACTCACCTCCCTATTATGTGATGGGCCAGTCTAACATACTTTTGAAATACCATGGGAAAGGGGTGGACAGAACAAGGGGCTGAACCCTTGAACCGGAGCCAGGCCATTCAGGGGGACATCACGGAACACTTCCCTACACGGGGATGTCTGTGGACGTATGAAGTATTCTCCCCTTGCACCTCAGATATCTCTTGAGGCTGTGAATCCACAAGATCATTCCAGCTGAGACTGAGTGAGTGTTGCTAGGGTGGGGGCTCTTGTAGCACAGTGGTATTGTTCCTATCTTTGAGCTAGGAGGCCTGTGCTCATGGCCCACCTACTCCAGAGGGGGATGTGTAATGATGTCTCTGATTGGGTGTGTTGGTATGTTGTTAAGGATGGGTTACTACAAGGCTAGCCAATGGTATTAAGATATAATTCAGGCAAGAGCTGACTGAATGGCCTCTTACTGATGTGACATTCCTAATTTTTGCTGACTTTGATCCCACAATATGATGTTGGGAATACTAATCCTTTCAAGGTTCATGTTCTACTGACCATCTCTGCTTTGCTTCAAATGTGCAGTCAGGACAGTGGTATCTTGCCCCGTGTTGGATACAGTGGAAATTTCAAGAGTTGTCCCATTAGTCCGGCACCCATACTCCCTTCCCACAGCCAAGTAAGCAGTACCCCTTTCCCAGTATTCCCCAATTTCCTTTTGAAAGCTATGATTGAATCTGCTCCTACTGCCCTTTCAGGCAGCACATTCCAGATCCCAACAACTCACTGTGTAAAACAATCCTGCTCTCTGGGGATTTTCCCCAGTTCCCTTCAATCTGTCTCCCTCTATTGACTGAGCCTCCTGCCCTGGAAACATGTACTTCTCATTTAATTGACTGAAATCTCAATCAAACCTCCTCTTAGCCTCTCCAGCTCGAAGGAGAGCTATCCCAGATTTGCTCATTTGAAAAGTCAAATGCAGTTTGTTGTATCTATAGGAATAATTCCCAGCAGTGAACAAACAGTACAACATGGAGTTTATATATAAATATAAGCAGCACCAAAATCATCACATTCATACATCGTGTACAAATGCTTTCAGGATTAGCAATGAAATTTTTTGTTTTTTTTTTCTTTCCTAATATATTTATTAAAACTATATCCATCCTAAATCGTAAAAAAAAATACACAAGAGTGTAGCCCTGCACTTTATATATAAAGGCAAATATATTACAGATTTGTTATCATTGCCTGACCTCCTCATCACACACAGTGGCTAAAATCACTTTCAGTGGTGGGCCTTACTGATCTTTCATCCCTTGCACCTCACTTGGAGCATCAACTCCAGCCCACCCTCCAAATTGCCCCCATTTTCAAAAACTCTCTCCCTGTCCTGCCTCCCTCCCTCATGGTCCAGTTGCGGGGGAGTAATACAGGCCGACTTTGCCAGTGCCCTCAAATCACACGAAGGACACAAATATGATACTCTTCTTGCCTGTTTACTTTCCCTCACTCAGATATGTGGACCCTCTAAAGGTTAACCATGTCTTGATGCAGGAGAGAACTCCCCCACCCATTAGAAAAGTGGGTTTCCTTTGCATGGGGTGAGTTGTTTCAAACTGACACACTGCAGCATCTGCTCTACATCCAATCACGCACCAGCCAACAGAAAGGCAGAACAGACTCAAGAGGCTGAATGCCCCTTGAAAGTTCAACATGAACCATCGTTCCTGTGTAACAGGCTTGAGGGGCTGAATGGCCTCCTTCTGTTTCAGTGTTCCCCTGATGGTCACATCTATATTAAATGATAGATGTTTGAAGAGAGATGGTGGCAGTGTGATTGGGCAGGTAACCGAGAGACCCAGCTTAGGGGCAAGGGTTCGAATCCATCTCAGCTGCTGGTGGAACTTCAACTGATTAAATCTCAAGGTAAATGTTCCTCGTTATGACCATGAAATTGTCATGGATTGTTGCCAAAACCCATCTGGGTTCACATCCTGTCCTTTAGGGAAGGAAATTTGCTGTCCTCACATGGTCTGGCCTAAATGTGACTCCAGACTCACAGCAATGTGGCTGACTCTTGCCTGCCCTGTGAAATAGTGCCAAGTGTGCCACTCAGTTCAAGGGCAATGAGGGATGGAGAACAGATCCCTGGCTTTGTAAGTGATGCCCACACCTCCTATCAGAGAAACAAATCCCATCCCCTCCATCAGGGGTGTGCCCTGATGTACCCGGTCAATAAAAAGCTAATGGTTTGTGTTGACATTCAGCAGAAATGTCCAGGATAATGTCGGGACTGCAGAGAGAACTCGGACATTGCTGGAGTGGGCAGTCACTGACCTTTGTCAGTGTTGTAACCTCCACAGCTCGGACCAAGGCCTGGAAAGTGGGATAAGGCCAGCACTGGCATGATGGATCAAATGGCCTGTGCATTGTAAGAATGAGATTTCATGTTGGCAGCTCTTCCTTTTCTGGCTTGGACTGCCTGAGTTTAAATGTTGGGGGCATAGATCTCCCCATTCACAGGCTGTTTATAACATAAAATATATTAACCCCCAACAACAGGGGAAACTCAGGACAAAGATTTCAATGGGAAACCCTTAGTGAGATATTCACGATTTCACAATCCCAGGCACTGATTAACATGAGCCATTTAGCAACACGCAGTGAACCACAACCGACACCACAAATTGCTGCTTATCTCTGCACAGTCAGAATGATCCCGTGATCACTGCTCACTGTGGTCACTCCAGGAATTTATGGTCCAGTATCAGTGGATTTAGCCACAGCATGGGGGTCAGGGTCGGAGGGGTGTAACGGTGTTATAGCTGGGCCACATTAATAAGGAAAATCCCATGTTCTCCTCTTTGTAACGAGCAAGTTGAGGATTTAACTCAATATTGACCTCTTTTGAGAGCCATATGACCCCTAGGCTATAAGCTGTGCAGCTGTGCAGTTTGCTGAACCACGCTCTAAAGGAGTCCTACTGGGTCTTAAACCATTGACTGTTCCATAAAAGTGTTGGCTTTACAGTCCTCACGTGAGGCAACTTAGCTACGATTCAGTAAAGAGGTGGGGTCTCACTCCATGGGCAGGGTGTGGCAGGGTCATGACCCATGGGAGTGGCAACCAGGAAATGAATCCCCCTCCCTTCCCTACCTCTACCCTCTCGACTGGTCCTGGTACAGACTTTTATTGCATATTAGAGTCTTTTGACTTTATATACAGTTAGAATTTCCTGTTGTGTGACAGGAACATGGAAAGATCACAGGTTAAATCCCAGGACTATGTGGGTCACAGCCCTGGGTCATTTGTAAGGCCAGATATACAATCAGTCACTCAATAGGGCAGAGAATCTCACTGGATACAGAGACATGGTGCTGCAGGTTGATGCCTTGCATTCATCAGGACAAATAGAATTTCAAGCAATCACAACAGGAGAGAAAGGGGACTGATTGGTTGTCAAAGTTGATCCTGATTGGCCAATGGATGCTTGAACACATTCCACATCATTTTCCACATCTAGCCTCTGCTGTTAAATGTGCTACCATTAAAGGGTATAGCACTTGCTGACAGTCTGAGGTGTGTTAATAGCTGCACTAATAACCAATTTAGGATTTAATCTTCTAACATGGGTTTTTTATGCTTGTGAAAATGAAGTACATTGATCCACAGGAACCCAGTCTCCGCAAAGAAAAGGAAACATGTTCAAGACTTGTGCGCTTTTGTCGAATTATCTGGGAGGCTGCGAGAGCCTGGATATTCCCCATTCACTCTCCACAGCAACACCTCAGCCAATGAGAATCAATGTGTCAACCAATCAGTAATCTTTCCTGTAACATAAATTGTGATGCTTTGAAATGAGGCATTCTCGTGCTTGTCCTGTAGAGTGCGAGACAAAATGTTTCGACAATGTGCCCCAGTTTTCAATAATATTCAATGCCAAATATATTCCCCACTTAAAAGTTACCACACTCCTTTATGGTAATTAGTGGCAATTTGCACTGAAGCTGGATCCGATCATCTGTGAGAAAGCGAGTGGCTGCAAATTCAGCTCCTTGTTTGCCTTTCCAGTAAAACATTCCAGGACATGGAATGCATGACACACACATGTATCTGTGTGTGGTGGCAAAATGCTGTTATTGTCTTTAAAAAAAGTTATTTCTTTTCAAAAACTAAAACTCTACTCAGGGAGTTAAATGTTTACCAGCTCCCGAAACTCTTTAGTTGCTAACCGAAGAGAGCTTTTACACTGAGGATCTTTCTGATGGAGTGTGGGTGCCTGATTATATAATCTATATATTAATCAAAAGATAGTGAGGCAAGGGGTTGAGTACAGCACGAGGCCGGCACAAGCAAACTATCCATTCGCCTTTCGCGGGCTCCACTCATAACGTCCCAGGATTCTGTGCAGTTCAGGTGACATGAAGTAAGGCTTCTCAGCTGATCCATCATTACGCTCCAAATCTTCGCCTGTGTGAGTTAGTGACATGCCAAAGCAATGGGGAGGGGGAGGAGGCGGGGTGGGGGGGTGGGGAACAGAGACAGTGAGATGGAGAAACAGAAAATCAGGGAGAGAGAGAGAGAGGGGGAGAGAGAGAGAGACGGAGAGTCAGAGAGAGAGAGACGGAGAGTCAGAGAGAGAGAGACGGAGAGTCAGAGAGAGAGAGGGGACAGAGATAGAGAGGCAGAAAGAGAGAGAGGCAGAGAGAGAGAGAGACAGATCGAGAGATACAGAGAGAGAGAGTCAGACAGATAGAGCAAGAGAGGTAGAGAGACAGACAAAGAGATAGATGGACAAAGAGATAGAGAAAGAGAGTGAAAAAGAGGCAGATAGAGAAATAAAAAGAGAGACAGAGATAGAAAGACGGATAAAGAAACAAAGAGAGAGAGAGAGGGGAAGACATAGAGAGAGAGAGAGAAAACAGAGTGCCAAAACAAAATTGATCCAAAGACAGAGATAGAGAGGGGAAGAAAATAATGACAATTGAACGAGGGCAGGGAAAGGAGGATTGGAAAGGTAACAAGTTAGAAGGCTTTTGGAGCTCTTAAATAAATTGATAATTAAACACAAAGCAAGCAGCTTGTAAAGCTCAGGAATTAATGTTTTAATCGCTGCACATTTAAGGAGCTTTGTAAGTAGTAATAGCAAATGCAGCTTCAGCCAAAATGAATGCCAGGGAAACACGAGCAAATCTACTACAGCCTCAGCTAGTTTCAAACATCAGCTCAAACTGCCAGGAAACGCAGAATAGCATCAGGAACGTTTCTAAACCTGGATACTCAAACTGCATAATTGTCCTGCCATATTGGTTCCTAACAACATCAGTCAGACCAATGAACTTGGCTCTTCCTGAAGCTTTGGCAACATTGGAGTTTCACTGAACATGCTGGGTTCAGATAAAACTCTACACAATGTCTACAGGAGCAAACTGTTAACTCAACAACTGAAACACTGATCAAGATAGAGGCAAGGTCAACACTTTAAACCAAAGGCCAATGAGCTCATTGCCATTACAACACAACCCTTGAACATTGTATAACTCGAGAGTAATGCGTCATCTCGAACAGGTGATTGTGGTTAAGGTCAATGTTGCTGTTGAATTGTTTCTGTTACTCTCTCGGTTGGAGGGGGGTGTGGGTACAATGTGGAATTCTCTTCCCCAGAGGTTGGTGGAGGCTGAGTATTGAAACTTATTCATGACTAAGTTAGACAGGATTTTTTTTCCCAAAGTTGAGGGTGTTGGAGGGTCATGGGGTCAGAAGGAAAGTGGAGCAAACCACAACCAGATCAGCCATGATGCTGCTTAAGGCCAGAGCAGGCTGGATGGGGCGAATCTCCTAAGGCCCATGTTCCTCTGCAGTGAGCCTTCCTTCTGAGTTACACTGCCTGGTGAACCACTGCCCACCCCACCATGTCTCCCCGCTCTGCTCGAGCTCAGACTACTTTCAAATCAAGGACTCAGCTTCTCAACTCCCTTCAGACCCTGACTCTGCAGCTTACCCCTCGGCCTATATCTCAGTGCTTCTGTAGCCCCTGGGAGACTGACCCAGCCCTCTCCCCACTCCCCACTCCCACCCTCCGTGACAAAGTGTCCCCTGCGCCTGGCTGGCTCTTGTGGGGATTTGTGCACAGTACTGACATTGCTACTGGAGTAACTCAGCAAATGGGAGTGATAACTGCCATGTGTTAACTCTCCATGCTGTCTCAGAATTGGACAATACTCCGATGTTAACCCCCTCCAGGACCTCCAGGACCAGAGCAGCAGAGGTCTATTCCACAACAGGGGCATCACTACAGAGGTTGCTGACATCCTTATCCCCGGAATCTACACATGGAGTATTTCTTGGGACTTTGCTGGAGATTAACCAGGTGGGAGAAATTACACAGTGCCCACTCGCTGTCGACACTCTCTCAAACGACGGCACCGAGGCCAAATCTTGAGAGCAGGGTTTTCTGCTGAATGGAGACATTGAACCCCTCACCTTGGCCTCTGTCAGTCACTAAACAAACCCATTGTGTCTCTGAGGAAACCGGTCAGATGTCAGACAACACCAGGTTACAGTCCAACAGGTTTATTTGAAATCACAAGGATGAAGTTAATTCACCTGATGAAAGCTTGTGATTTCAAATAAGCCTGTTGGACTATAACCTGGTATCGTGTGATTTCTGATCTTGTCCACCCCAGCCCAACACTCCACTTCTGAGGAAACCAGCATTCCCCACGTAGCCCAGGCTGAACATCAACACAACTTAATAAATTACAAGAAGTTTTGAGAGTTTGGAAAATCTACTCACAGAAACAGAGGAACAATGTATCCACACACATTGCATAGACACTGAAAAAGCCGTGTGCAATTAGATAGGACCCGAATATCACCGTCTGCAAATACAAAAACACAGTTACATTCACACATCGACAGACCAATCACTGAAGAGAACACAAACGTCAATAATTCCATAGAAATAGCAAACTGGAGAGCATTAGGACACATTCCAAAAGAGGGGGAACTGAAATTCAGACAAACAGGATTAAAATGCCTCTGAAAATACAGTGAGACGAAACCTGGAGCACTCTGCACACGTGTAAAACAAAACTGAGGCACTGGACAACATGCAAAATGAAGAAACAGCATCTCAGATCAAAAAGGTTATTGATTTTGACAGTGCGGCACTCCCTCAGCACTGACCGTCCGACAGTGCGACACTCCCTCAGTACTGACCGTCCGACAGTGCGGCACTCCCTCAGTACTGACCGTCCGACAGTGCGGC